ATGCATTTATATTTATTATTATTTTTTTAAATTTTCATGGATATTTAGAATATTCAAGATCAAAACAAAAAAATTTTGGCAATATGCACGAGATTATTATAAATAAAAAATTTTGTACAATATAAATCAATTTAATTTTGTTCTCGAAATAAATAACTAATAATTTAAAAAACTTAATTTAAAATACTTAATTTTTAATAATAATTATTTAATTGTAACTTATTTTTTACATTTATTTACATTGATTTTAATTATTTATACAAATTATTCATAACAATTACCTTGTTATCTCTACGTACACAAACATACTTACATAATACATACGTACATAATCATACTTTTGATAGATTTAACTATTTGTTACGCATTTTTTAATCTCATAATGAGATGAAATCTCAAAAATGAATATATTTCTTATAGATATACAAAATTTCTTATAATATACAAAGAACTTTATTATTTGTTTTTTTTTTTATTATTATTCGAAATAACCAAACTTTTCTTTAAAAAAATTTGAAAATTTATTTATTTATTTCGAGTAAATATTTGTTTTCACATTTTTTTTTCTTATTTTAAACGAAAAAAAAAAGTCTCCAATCTTGTTTAGAATAAGTAACGAAAAAGTTAAGGGCGGTTATTAAGCTCGATACCCGTGAATACGACACAGGAGTATAAAATCCCATGCATGCAGACTCGTTTCATTGAGAGAGACGATCCGCGTGTGTACCGCTTAATGGCAATTCATCCGACAGTCGATGGACATGCGATTCTCCTTGTGGAGATCGCGTGCACGTGGCCGTGACACCTTGAAGCCGCGGAACGAGGCCGCTTTTCACTCGCGAGAAGTCACGGGATATTTGGCAAAGGAAAAGGGAAGTCGAAGCGCTTGAAAAAGAAGAAGGCGGGACCCTTCTTTTTTTCCCCAGTCCCTTGAGCTGTCGTGCACCGCTCAATAGGAGTTAATTGCCGCAAGGAGAGCTGCAAATTCGCGGTATTGTAAGTCTCGTCTCGTTTTCGTGCCCGCTGTCGAAGCCAGGATGTTCGTGTTGTTGGCAGACTTTTTAAACCGTCTTTTCAATAGGATCATAAAATTTCAAAAATGGTGCGCGCGCGTGCGCGCATATACATTGCTAATTTCGATGATAAATTGTGGAATATATGTAAGTATGTAGAGTATATAGATATGTAAAGAAAAGGTATGAGGAGGATTTGATAATTGTGGAAGAAGGAATAATAGAGGCATTTAAAAAGATATATTTTCGAGATACATTTTGAGAGAATAATTTCTGAGTGGAAACGCTAAAAGAGAATCGAAAATATATTTTTATAAATATAAAAACAAAATAATAGATGGTACTTAAAGAAACGAGTTCTTTAAGAGGATTTTTAATTAGATTTTTAAATTAAAATATTAATCAAATTATTAAATTAATTAGATTTTTAAATTAAGGATATTAGATCAAAATTAAATCTTAAGATTTGAAAAAGTCGAAATCAAAGTTTTGTGATATTCAATCTTTCAAACAAACTAAAAAGTTCGTTTTGTAATTATTTTCTTATGTTTACTTCTTATGAAATAAAATGTTAAAATTTTCATTTTTAAAATTTTATTTCATTTCATTTCAAATTTAAATTCATAAACAATTAGCAGTCATCTTCACAACTTACAAAAAGTTAAATTTTTGCTTTATTTTTATAATATAATATGATATTGTTTTAATTGAAATGAATCAAAAATTGATTTGATTATTATGAACTAAATAAATAAATAAATAAAAATAATTTTATATCATAATATAATATTATCTCCTCTTATTTTTACAATTATTCTTTATCGTCTTAATTGTTTAATTATTAAATCTTTTTAGATTTAGAATCACAAAAACAGAAATTTCAAAGTATAACTCATCACATTTTAATTAATAAATGTCTACGTATTTTTTATCTTAAAACAATATATATAAATTATTATATTTAAATTCATGATGATAGGAATTTAGCTGAAAATGCATAAGGTTATTTTATTTATTGTTTGTTAATTGTATAGTATTATTTGAAAATTATTTCAAAATATAGATTTTGAATAATTAAGTATTATAATAGATTAAATATATAATAAATCTCTACAATTTTATGAATTACAAAAGAATAATTTTATTCTCATTTTAATAAATATTTGTATTTAATAATTCAAAATTATTCGTTATATTATACATATAATATTTTACGAAATTTTAAAAAGTCTAAGTATTTATAGTGCTATAATGAAAGAAAAATAAATTATTTGTTTTCATCTCAGATACGGTCTGTGAAATATATTATTTATTTATCAAACGAAATATATATATATATTAAAGAAACGTATAGAAATTGCATGCTATTATTGGAGTGAGAGAACTTGTTGAAAGAGAATGAACTTGTTGAAAAGCTAATTTCAATGAAGTTACAATATATATGTTATTGTTTATAAGTAAATATCTGGATGTTCAGATCGATTTATTGTAACGATATTTAAAGATTATCGAAATATATTTATTATTTTCTAATATAGTGGATTTAATAAAAAAAAAAAATTATTTGCGATTATCAATATCAATACCAATATCAATATATCAATCACAATGTATTTTATTTTGCAGATAAATTATTGATTTTAATATTAATAATTTATAAAAGAATTTTTCCAAGTTAGAATCTATTATTAGAATCTGAAAAATTAAATAATTTGTAAAAATTGTACAACTTGATACGAAAAATAACAAAACAATTCTAAAAGATTTAATACTAATTATAAATATTAATTCTGTTTTTATATACACATTTCATTTTGAAAACACAATATATATATATATATATATATATATATATATATATCACAGATTCTAAAAAAAATTCAAGAGTTCTCAGGACTCATCCGTAATACTTTAAGCAGGATTTACACGAATCCCTATAGCTTCCAAAGTCAAGGATATCTTTGCTTAGCTTTCTCGCGTATTCTATTGACTACTGTTACTCGCGTATCGTCCAGGTAGGCAAACATAGAAACAGAAAAAGATCTCCTTTCGTAAGCAAAAGCAGAAAACAAGACCAAGAGAGAGGAAGATCGGTGTGAATGATCCTAGACACCGGTCATATTTATACTCCTGTTTGCTTCCTGATTCGCCACGGTGCGCGACCCTTGAAAGTCCAGCTTGGTATCCAGTCAAAACACGCATTCGTTTTCTCGCCACCTATTTTCAGGGATTGCTCGTTTACCTGCTCATCTTTTTTCGCGCGCATCCACGTGAAATCGCGTGAAATCCTCGTCCGGCTCGGGAAAATCGCGTTAAGCGGAACTTCGGGGAAAAACTTGGCTCGAAGGATAGTTGGAGATATTTGGAATAAAAAGGGAGTTTCATGGATGGAAGACGAAAGTCGAGGAAGGATTAGTCTCGTGCTCGAGGGTGCTTCTGATCGTGTGAGATCGGCTTTAATAGGTTTCGAGGATCATTGATTCGAAATGGTTTTGACAGAGGAAATTCGGTCGTGGTCGTCGAGATGTTAGAGATATAGTTAAGACATTTGATTGTTTGATTTTCGTTCTGAAAAGTCAATTTGGTGCTTGTCTATTTTTCGGTACTTCTGGACGCATTTTCTTATATATGCGCATGAAAAACATGTATATATTGTTTTTTAATACATATTTAATATTTTTTTTAATAAATAAAAAAAATAAGTTCATTGAAAAGTTGAATATAATTAACAATTATATTTTAGACAAAATATCAATATTATGATAATTTAATTTCTTAAATATTGTGAATTATCTTTTTAAATGCATTATATATTAATTCTGTAAATTTTCTATCATTGTTATTATTTATATCATATCATTATTATGTTTATATTTTTATTCATAACATTTTGTTTTAAGTAATTGAAATATGTAATATATATATTATATAATATAAATATATTTACATATCCATTATTTCTGTTATATAATGATTTCAATTATAATCTCTTAATCTTTCTATCGAAGAAAATGAGGATTTATCATCATTAAATATATACATATAGTTAAAATAATTTCAAATATAAAACTTGTATGAATTTTATATTCATTATTTATACGGTATTTATTATTAAAATAGTATCTATTGGAAAATCATTTATAGAAAATCAATATAAATTTTACAAATAATAAAAAAATATTTTATAATGCAATTTTTCTTTTTTTATTGTATCTGTACATCTAAATGTTTTAATTTTTTAGCAAAATGTTATTTTATTGCTATTTAACATTAAAATAAAATGCAAAACATTAATAATTATTTAAGATGTAAAAAAATTCATTTTATATTTTTTTTTATAATTATTGTCTTCCTCCAAGCGAAATATAAGTATTTATTTATAAGAAATAATTTGATAAGATAGTCATAATCTTGAATTATGTATAACAATGAAATCAATAAAAATTTTTATAATTGTTTTGTTGCAATTTATATTTGTATTTTGCATTTGTTGCAATATTATAGAATATTTCAAAACAATAGTCTTTTAAATATTTTTATTAAAATTCTATTAATTATTTAATTAAAATTAAATGTAATTAATAAATTTGTAAATTTGTATCAATTACTATAATAAAAATTTTATATAAGCTTTTGTCCAACAAATTGTATATTAATTTATTTACAAAAAAAAAATAATGAATTCTATTAATAACAATTTTATACCAATGTATATAAAAATTTCATACCAATGTTATAAAAATTATATTTTCGCAATTTTTTTATCTCTTGCAATTTTTCCTCTTCTCTAAATAAATTAATAAATTCTCTTCATACAAATTGAGAACATTCCATCTTAGAACATCTTGAACATAACATAATCTTTAATAAATTATTCTATTATACGATTAAAATGACTAAATCTTGCTAATTGTTTCACGAAACTATTAAAATTATCAAATTATCTTGTAAATTATCTTCAATAATTCGAAGAGTATTTTGTTACAGAGGTGCAAGGAAAAGCTGAACACTCTTGCTATTTCAGTAATGAATCAGTGGCCGGGAGTGAAGTTGAGAGTGACAGAAGGATGGGACGAAGAGGGAAAACACGCGACGGATTCGTTACATTACGAAGGACGTGCCGTCGACGTGACGACGAGCGATCGGGATCGCTCGAAATACGGAATGTTAGCAAGACTCGCCGTCGAAGCTGGTTTTGATTGGGTTTACTACGAGTCCAGGTCGCATATTCACTGTTCCGTCAAATCGGGTCAGTATTATATTAGTTGTTTTTCATTTTATTCGTTAATTAAATTATTTTTCATATAGAATAATTTGATACATTTCTGACTGAAAAATAATCTAGTTTTCAATTTATTAATATTGAAAATATATAAAATGTCCAAAAAAGGATTAAGCTTATTATATATTACTATATATTAATGGGTATAAATAGGTAAAAAAAAGTTGATACTTATGTTGAAAAATGATATAGGAAAGAGTTACAATCGTTCAAAAATTTTTATTTTATATATATTTTTATTTTATTATATATATATTCAATCAAAAATTTATTCTGATGGAACTATTAATGTAATAATATTGCAAAAATCAATGGATAATTTGTTGCTTAAGATTTCATCTTTCCAAAATATTTTACCTTTTGTAGTGAAATAGATATAATAGAATATTATAAAATAGATTAATAGAATATTAATTTGGAAATAAATTACAATTTACATATACAATATATATACATAAAAGAATTTCCTTTCTTTATATAATAAATTTACAATTTTTATTATTTAAATTAAGATTTTTAACATTTTTTAATAGACAGTAATTTAATTTTTAATAGACAGTATATATAATACCATGTAGTATATAATTTTATAATATATTCTTTTGTTTATAATAATAATAATAAGTTTTTTATATAAATATTCATTGAAATAAATAAATAAATAAATGAAATGATTAGTAAAATATAATAAACTAAATGATTAATAGAAAATCAAAGTTATAATACAATTAATATAGAATTTAACTATTGGATTGAATTTTTTAGGCTTAAATTTTTTTAAGTACAATTTTATTTAAATTATTATAGAATTTTATAATATTAAAATATAAATTATTTGTAAAAAATTATTTATATTATAAATTTTGTTTTGTTTTTTTTTCAAATAGAGATTTTATCAAGTAGAGAAAATAATTTTACCATATAATAAATTTTATTTAATTTTTTTTTTTATTAATTTTAATAATATATAACGAATTAATTTTAAAAAGTATAATTAAATATATTATAAAAGTATAATTAAATATAAATATCATGATAAAATCCAATATGTATAATATGTATAATATGTAATCAATATGTATAATTATGATAATACAAATTCAAAATTCGAATAAAATTATTAAAATTAAAAATGAAAAAAAGAAAGAATTTTTTTTTTCAAACAAGAATATTTGTACTTATATACTTTTATTTATTATATTATATTTTTATTATATTTTATTCTTATTCTTCTTGAATTTATTATTATGATGATAGAGCACCACTGCTACACAACAATTCACTTACTGCGCCACTCCATTAAGAAGAAGTTATCTATTTTACCGACTTCCATAGATTTTCGGGATATTGTAGAAAATGATCATATTCAAAAAAGTTATTCTACAAGCATGCTTACTGTGAAATATCTAATTACGGATATGTCATCTATTAAAGATAACAAGAAACAATCATTCTATATCATTTCATGAATAATAAAAAATTAAATATTTTGAAAATTAATCAATATTAATATATTTTTAATCATAGATTGTAAAATATAAATATGTATTATGTTTTTATTAAAAAGATTTTATTTTTTTTTTTAGAAATTTTAGAAATTTTATTTTTTTATACATATATTAAATATTATTAAATATATGAAAATTTAATAATAATAATTCTAGTAATATTAATTATAATATTATAATATATCTATATATAAATATTTCTATATTAAAATAGTTCAATTTTTATTATTTAAATAAAAATATATTAATATGTTATATAACAATTTAATAAAATTAATAAAAATAATAATTTTTTAATTTGTTATGATTAAAAATAAATAAAAATAAAAAACAATAAAAAAAGACGTAAATAAATAAAGATATAAAAAAAATATAAATGCTATATATAAAAAACAGAAATATAAAATTCAAAAAGAAATATAAGCAAATTGTAAAATATCTTAATATTATTATTAAATATTATTTCAGTATAAATATTCCAAATATAATATAATATATATATAATCATAACGATGATATATACAATATATTT